CCAGTGGCAGCACACCCTCCTGGGGTAACTATGCTCGGCCAAGAATGGAAGAGGCGGTTGCTGCCCATTTTCTTAATTTTGCTTTTTGAAAAACTGGAATGATTATAGTTCTAGCTGCCGGTTTTCTTAATCTTGCTGCTTGCTTTTTGACAACAGGAATGATTAGTTCTAGCCACAAAATGATTCCCCGGAGGATCCAGCCTCAGGCATCCTTGCGGAAGGGGCAATAGCGCTATCAGTGACGCTTAGCGGAGGAGCTTCAAATACCGCCCGAGTGTCGGGGACTCCGTGCGGGGCCTCCAACTCACATGACACAGTGCCTCACGAAGAAGGTCCCGCGCGGATTTGATCCGCGATCGCTGGATTCAGAGTCCAGAGTGCTAACCGTTACACCACGGGACCAGTTGATCGAAGCTTGGACAAGCTTCCAACATGGAACTCAACTCCCCTTGTCTTTCCTGCCGAACCCCAGCTTCAAGGATATTCGGCCCCAGGCGGAGAGCCAGATCGATTAGCAGGCACCTTTTGCTCCACTTCACTCCTTCAACTTCACTCCTTCAATGCACCGGGCTTTGGCTTTCTCAACGCTTTCTGAACATCTGCGCTCTGAGGCGCAGGTTTGCAAAAAAAGTTGCCTCAGGGTAAGAGGTTTTCTTTCTGAAAATCTTTGCTCTGAGGTGGATGTTTTTGCTTCAGGGTGCGACGTTTTCGTCCTGGAAATCTTTGCTCTAAGGTGGAACGTTGCGACAGAAATCAAGTTTTCTTTCTGACAATCTTTGCTCTGAGCTGGAATCTTGCGAAACCAGTTTCGACAGTGGTTGCAGATACCTCGGCCTGAAAGTCTTAGCTGGAATCTTCTCGAATGAAACCCTCCTCAAAGCCAAGGGTCAGTAGTGATTTCAACGCACGATCTTTGCTTGTTGATGGACCAGCTGATTTCGAACATCTCGGCTGCGGTGACACAGCAACGCGGTTGATCTCCAAGTAAAGTGCATCAGCCGGGAATCGAACCCGGCTCACATCGATGGCAACGATGTATTCTACCACTAGACCACTGATGCTTCTGGGAAACCCGAAGGCTCAGAGAACTATGATGCAAGTTTTGCCTTCCAGCTTCGGCATCGCTTCGAGCCGGATGGTCGCTAATCGCCATCCGGAACACATCCAGGACATTCCACCCCCAAGACAATTTAAGATTGAGGTGTTGCCGCTCTGAAAAGTCTCAGGTCGCAAAATGTGCCGAGACCCGGGATCGAGCCGGGACCTTCAGATCTTCAGTCTGACGCTCTCCCAACTGAGCTATCGCGGCTCTGGTCGCATTATGCGGCAAAGTCTTCGTCCGTGAAACCCATGGCCCACGTCGAACATGTTCAACACAGGGCTGGCAGTTTCCTGAGCTCTTCACCAAGTCTTCCCGCAAAGACACCGAGGTACATCCGGGCAGTCCGGGCACGCATTGACTTGGTTAGGAGTCTCCGATGGAGTCATCCATAGCAGAATTTGTTGAGAGGCAACTAGCTTGTGAGCTGTTGCCAACTGACATGACGTTTGTCCTTCAAAGCCATGCTGCCCCCGAAACCTGGTTGCCCGTCTGGGGTTCTTGAAAGCGATAAGGGTTGGTTTTGTAGAGGTTACGGGATTAAAGCTTTGTTGGGGCTTGAAGCGGAGTCATGGAAAGCCCGGACCGACTTGGCCCAACTCGGACGATCTCAACCCCCAACCCGAAACCCAGACCTGCCGAAAACCACAAATTCCAAACCAACCTCAAACCCAAAATTCCAAAGCTTCCAGCGGCAGCGGACCTTTTTTTCCTTCCCAAACCCCAAACCTCGAACTCTCTTCACCCAACCCAACCCGGGACCGGACTTTTTAACTCTTAAACCCCAAACAGCCCGACCCTGGCAATCGAACCAGCATTGGACAGTGCCATACGTAAGCCCCAAAGCTTGTCTCCGGACTCGGCCTGAACCCCCAAATTGACCCTTTCTCAAACCATCAGACCATCTTGGTTGCCAAATGCAGTTTCAACCCTTCTAAAACATGGCCTCGTACTTTCAACTCAAGACTCGAAATCCAGAGCTTCTCCACCCTGAACTCCAAATGAGAAGTTGGTCAGAGCAACTGAATCTTGCTCGGACGTTCTTTCTTGGAACCTCCAAATTGAAAACGATTCGATATGTTGCATACAATGCAATTGCCACTTGCACACAAGATCTGGAAATCTGCACCCTCGAGCATACCTTCTCGGCCTTTTGGCTATGATCAAGTGTAGTATCTGTTCTTATCAGTGTGACAACTGATATGTCTCCAACTGGAGACTTGCTTGTCACATCTATTTTTGCTGGGGAAGTGTCTTCATGCGCTCGCTCAGAAGCCTTCACGTGTTGCGCTGGCATCGCACCAAGCCAGTGGCAGCACACCCTACTGGGGTAACTATGCTCGGCCAAGAATGGAAGAGGCGGTTGCTGCCCATTTTCTTAATTTTGCTTTTTGAAAAACTGGAATGATTATAGTTCTAGCTGCCGTTTTTCTTAATCTTGCTGCTTGCTTTTTGACAACAGGAATGATTAGTTCTAGCCACAAAATGATTCCCCGGAGGATCCAGCCTCAGGCATCCTTGCGGAAGGGGCAATAGCGCTATCAGTGACGCTTAGCGGAGGTGCGCTGTTTGCTAGTTGAAAACTACTCCAATTCCCGTCAAGTTTGATCGTCAAGGTCATTCTTGCAATTTTTACGTGGACTTCGGCCCAACAACATTGCACACTAACTGGTGACTGGTGTTCTGCAGCAAGGTTGCTGCTGTTTCTGGACGAAACCCTGCTGCATGCAGATGGTTTTGGCAGCTCCATGCATGTTGCAACGGGCTGCTTTGACTTTGACTGTTGGAAACTGCTTGCACACGTCGAGAAAACGGTGGAACGCTGAGGCTCGATCCATAAATGTCTGTATGCTGAGCACTCTGAAGCTTGTCTGCAGAAGCCGAAAGTTCCATGCCTGGTCATCACAGCGTTCACTTCATAGCGCACCAATCTTTCGCCTTTTACTAAAGGTTGCCGTGAATGGGACGCATCAATCTGACTCACACAATTTTTGGGGAGCTCTGAGCTCCAACGAACAGAACGAACAGAGAACCAATTGCTGCCGGCGGAGCTAGGTCGGTCTGCTGCTTCTAAATCGAGCTGTGGCACATCTTTAAGCCCACACAATGTTTTGAACCTGCTCTGATCATCGATGCCAGAACACTGCACAAGTGTTCCCAGCCAAGCAAGAAGTAGAGCTTTTCGGGTTTAAAGCTTGCTAGTGCCACACTTGGTCAAAGCCAGAACCCACAGTTCTCGCTTTTATCTGATGTGTACAGGAAGTTGCGGGCCAAGACTAAGTTTATTGAGCCATCTTCTTTTCAGGGAGAAACGGAAGTCGGACTGCAAGAAAGGACCTGCAAAAATCGTCGGACTGCTTACACAGCCTACTTGAACCAAATCATGGCTTGCAAGAAAAATGCAGGTTCTGCATAAACTTACCTGGCTAGTGTTGGGCGGAGATCCAGCAGCTCGCTCTCATAGGGTCGAGCAGTTCACTGCACTCTGAGGCCTGTAACGCCTTAGGATTCTCCGATGGAGTCATCCATAGCAGAATTTGTTGAGAGGCAACTAGCTTGTGAGCTGTTGCCAACTGACATGACGTTTGTCCTTCAAAGCCATGCTGCCCCCGAAACCTGGTTGCCCGTCTGGGGTTCTTGAAAGCGATAAGGTTTGGGTTTGTAGAGGTTACGGGATTAAAGCTTTGTTGGGGCTTGAAGCGGAGTCATGGAAAGCCCGGACCGACTTGGCCCAACTCGGACGATCTCAACCCCAAACCCGAAACCCAGACCTGCCGAAAACCACAAATTCCAAACCAACCTCAAACCCAAAATTCCAAAGCTTCCAGCGGCAGCGGACCTTTTTTTCCTTCCCAAACCCCAAACCTCGAACTCTCTTCACCCAACCCAACCCGGGACCGGACTTTTTACCTCTTAAACCCCAAACAGCCGGACCCTGGCAATCGAACCAGCATTGGACAGTGCCATACGTAAGCCCCAAAGCTTGTCTCCGGACTCGGCCTGAACCCCCAAATTGACCCTTTCTCAAACCATCAGACCATCTTGGTTGCCAAATGCAGTTTCAACCCTTCTTTGTGGTGCGGTGGTTTTCAAGCTCCTATAAATCTTCCTCGTTCTTGCCGGGGGAAATCTTATAGCCCCATTCGTACTATAACATAAATGCGAATATGTCTCAACAAATATGTTGACCTCTTAGAGGTCTATAAATTATGAAATCTTCCAATCACAATATACATATTTGAAAAGGGATCGGTCCTTTCTTCTTTCAAGCGATCTGGGGTCTCGCGAGGCTGCGCTGCTGCACCAAAAAGGTTTGAAGTCTCCCGGCCACTCTCCCTGTGGCCTTCAAGCGAGCCCCAAACCCGGGTGGGCTGGGAGGGCAAGAAAATTTTTCTCTCGCCCTTGAGTAGCAGAGCAGCCATAGAACAATTCTCAACAAGTCCATGCTTCGCACATGAAAAATTTTCTTCAACACTAAACAAATTCTTCAAAGAGAGCATGTATAAAATCATGCATCATGAGCTCTAGAAAACCCGCACTCTCCCCGTGCTGACCACCCCCCAAAAGAAAGACTAGTCGGCACGCCGAAGACGCCCTTCTTTGTGGTGTGGTGGTTTCAAGCTCCTATAAATCTTCTTTGTTTTCACCGGGGGAAAACCTTATAGCCCCATTCATACTATAACATAAATGTCAATATGTCTCAACAAATATGTTGACCTCTTAGAGGTCTATAAATTATGAAATCTTCCAATCACAATATACATATTTGAAAAGGGATCGGTCCTTTCTTCTTTCAAGCGATCTGGGGTCTCGCGAGGCTGCGCTGCTGCACCAAAAAGGTTTGAAGTCTCCCGGCCACTCTCCCTGTGGCCTTCAAGCGAGCCCCAAACCCCAGATCATCTCACGCTCGGTTGAAGGCCTGGATCCTTCCAACAAGCTCTTCAAGTCTCGAGAAGGGTTGCACACAAGATGCTCCGACCGTCACCAAAGACTCCTCTCCTTGGTCTCTCGACGGTGCATCCCCCGGATTGGAGTAGGATGGGACTCTGCAAACCCACCACATGGATGGCCATTCTCTGTCGAGCTCAGAGAACACTCGGGCTAAAGTGTGCATGGCCCAACTGCGGCTGGCGCCCTTGATCATGACACCTCTGGTTGCATCGTTGTCAACCCACCACACTATGCGGCGAGACGACACAAGAGCATTCAGTTGCAGCAGGGAAGCTAGCACAGCAAACATCTCGATCTCGCAGATGAGTTGCTCTCCTACCTCTGCTTTCCAAGATTCAAGCAACTGCAACGGGACCTTTCCTGTGAAGACCCAGCCTGTTCCACTGAAGCAATCGTGGGCGGCTAGACCAATGCCTCCAACATCAGCTTCCCACGATCCGTCGGTCCAAAGATGGATGATGTCAGTTATCATCGCACAGCTCAAGACTCTAGGGTTCTCGTGCTTCAGCAAAGAAACGGTGTGTCTACAGAAGTCACTAAGGTCCCTAGGACTAAAGTGCAGACCCCCAACAATCCTCGCAAGAATGTGCGACGCATGCTTCAGCGATCGGCCTGCGTAAAAGCCCGAGGCGTACTGCAACAGGCCTTGGATGACCTGAGCCTCGTGTCGTCGGATTTCTCCTTTCAAGCTGATTTCCTGAAGACGGTCAACAATCCTCTCTATCCTGCCCTGTTTGTTTGCTAAGACTACAGTACCCTTAGCAAGATCACCTAAACCCAAATGCATACCAAGGACGTCGAAGTCTGACGCAAAGGGGCGTCCTTTTGCGCCCGTCTTGGCGTGACGCCATCCTAGGGCATCCAAGAACGCACTCGCCGTGGAGTCTGCGTTTTCTGCGCTACCTGCCGGCGACATCAAAGGATAGTCATCGAAGAAGACGGCAGCTGGTATACATAGAAGTTTGTTCAAGAGAAACCACAGGGCCCTGGAAACCCTATTAAAGGCATAAACCGCTGCAGTGCTACCAAACATGAGCGAGTTCGAAATGTATAAGGCATCCTTTCCGTCCGATTGCCTAACTGCAATTACTGAAAGAGGTCGGTGACTCGGATGGATAGCAAGTTGCTTGTAAGCTTTGCTGAGGTCAAGTGTTTTGCCCTTCCACTCCGATGCATCATTGTGCGCTCGGCCTTCGCTCACTTCCCTCGCTACGTGGAGGGCCATGGCTGAGATGTAGTCCGAATCTTGTAACCGCAGGTGAATGCTGGAGCTGTAGCCCGCGTTTAATTGGGATTCCAAGCAGTTGTCTATGGGTCTGGGTTTTAGCTCTGCCCCCTGGAGCAAAACAAACCTTCTGATGACTGTCCAATCGTTGGTTCCCAGCAATTCCGTAATCTGGCTCTGATCATAGTAGGGGCCCTCCAAAAAGCCCATGGCCACTTCCTCATCCGTGGCCTCCTTCAAGATCCGTGCCTCCTCCGGGTCTACCCTTTCGAACTTACTCAACAAGGACTTTCGTCTGGTGGCCGCTGAGGCCATGAGCTCCGTCTCTGTCAAGAAAGCGGGGACAAACTTACGATCAAAGCATTCTGGGCATTGGGAAGTTCCGACCAACCTTACCCCTTCTTTTAAGAAACCGATGACTTCAAGATCGTCATAGCCCTCGGACTTGAGTAAAGATTCCAACGCCAAAATGGATTTGCCGCTCATAACCTTAGCCACTGCCGGGTGCATGGCCTTGCGAAGCTCCGCCTCAGCATCACTGCATCTCTTCACCTCCTGCTTCACTCGCGCCACCGCCAAGTTTCGCTTCAAGACTATGAGCCTCGGGTCTTTAGTCAAGTTTTCTTTCAAGGCAAACAACGTGGCTTTCTCAAGCGGGTTTGAAGAATCTACTGGATGAATGACCTTCTTAGCCTCCTCTACAAACTGTTCAGGAGTCCTGTATACCCCAACCCTAACCCGGTCACCAACCCTCTCAGCTGGATCCCGTGAACTACTAGGGGTATTGGCCTCCGAGATGGTCCCTCTCGAAGGGGGGTTACTGGTAGGCTTCGAGGCCTCTGGGATGGTCCGTCCCAAAGGGGTGTTAGGGTTTGGCTCAGTGGAAGCTCGAAGCTCCTCACCCCCGATGCTGCGCAAGAGCTTCAAGTGTTTTGGCGATTTGAATGCTACGGCTGGCATAGTAATCACAGACTGGTATTCGGAAACCAGCGGCGGATGACGCTTGTTTTGTCGGCCCAACATGGCCAGCGAGAGGTCCTTAGGGGATGGGCGACGACACAGGTTGAGGCCTAGCGACAAAGCCCTGCGCTCCACACACGAAGCGAAGCGAGAGGCAAACAATGCTGGGTAGGCCGCCTCATCCTTGGTGGCATACCGAACGGAGCCAAACTCAACAACTTGTCCCCAAGGTTTGTGCATGTGCTTTCCATCGCAAAGGGCACGCAACGGCTCGAAGCAGCCAGGCGTTGCAAGCAACTTTGTGCGTTTGGGGCGAAAGCCCCCATGGCAACACAAGTCAAAGATGATGGACTGCAGTCTGGGAAGGATACGGTTAGCAACCCCTTGTGGCTCAAAGGCTTGCAACACCTCCCATAGGAAACTATTTGCGGGATTCTCAAGACTGACCACTATGTCGTGCTCCAGGCAATATCGCAAAATGCGATATGTGAAGGCATACAAACGGTTTGCCAACTTTACACGAGTGGCCTCAACTGACCCCGGCTTTAAGGAGGGCAGGCCTAGCGGGAACTCACTACTCCTAAGAGGTTGGGGTCCCGGCTGTCCATTGTACAACGGTCTGCCTCTGGCCTTGCTGCTGGTCCCACATGGGGCGCCCAAATGTATTGCAAACGGGCGCTGTGTCTCAAGAAAGTCCCAGAACAAAGCTTGCCCTGAGTCTGTTGCTAAATCCAGCTGCGAGATGGGCACATGAGAATCGCAATGATGTTGGTCGAAACTGTGGACAGCGAATCCGCATTGCATCAGGGCCCGGGACAAGAGGCCTTTGCCTGCGAAAACCTCAAACACCATGGGTGGCCGTTCTCCCAGCTGCGCCGTTTGCACAGGCAACGGCACCTCAGGAGGTAGCACGAAGTTCAATTGGTGCGCTGCCTCTACATCCTTCGGTTCTAATTTTTCAAGTTGCTGCACAACCCAAGTGATCAGAACAACTCTTCGACCTGTCCAAGGTTCAGTTTCGTGGTATTTAGACCAAGCGTCAAAGATAAGCGGATCGTCCCCAATTTCGTGAACCGCTCCAACCAGCTCTTTAGAATTGAAGACTCGAACATCGTCCCCAGGGCCCTCTATCCATAAGCCCCCCTCCTTAAAATCACTCAAGCGAAAAACTGCATTCGGCCACTGCGCATTGCGGCCGTCACGATGCAAAGGCGTGAGACTGTCTGCAAAAATGCCACATGTGGAGAAAACATGACCTGGAAGACGCTCCTGCACAAAGCGGGTCATGACACGACTTGCGTATGGAAACTCTGCACACTCCTTACGCAACCCACGGAATCCACCTTGGGAGTAACAGCCGGTTACGAAGGACTGTTTCACTTCTCTCTGACCCTTCTGAAGATTTCCCTGAGGGAGCATATCAAACAAGGTCAAGAGATCATCACTCGTGATTTGGCCTGGTTTATTCAAACGGGCCTTGGACCACCCCTCAGCATCAGGGACCAGCAGGTCCCCAGTTTGCAATGCGCCCCCGTCGCTCCCTCCACTGATGGACGCACTCAATGGAAGGGACCTTCAGGCACCAGCCTTCGGACAGCTGGTGTACGGATGATTTCCGAAGCAACCCTTTTTCCAACACTTGTGGTAGCCCTTTATGCACCGGCCCTGCTTACAGGTATTCTTGCAACCGTGCGTGTTATAAGCGAAACACAAAGGCTTGTTCGCATCATCTTTGGTCACACAGCCCTCCGGCAAATCTAACTTTGAACCTGTCGCGACCTTTCCCTTGTTCCCCTTGTCCTTTCCCTTCTTGCCTTTGCCATCTCCCTTGGGAGGGGTCCAAGGTACATGTGGGATTACAGGGTTCTGCAAGGGTGCCAAATACTGCATGATGTCACTGTCAGGGCTCCTAGACAGTCTACTGATCTCCGCGTCCAAAGCAGGAGCCGCCCCTGGCGAGGCCGTTAGACGTCCCATGAGGTTGTTGCTTGCAAGAATGAACATCTGCTTATCTGCCTCAATGATTTGCGAAAGCATGACACCCTGAAAGCCCTTCGGCTGCGCTCTCTGAAGAACTGAAAACAAGAATTGAACATGTTCCTCCATGACCCTGAAGCTTGCAAGGTTCGCCAAATCGAAGGCTAAGGAGCGGCGGCTCCAAGCCTGGCGCAACCTCATCTCTGATGAAACGTCACATGTCTGATCTGCAGATTTCGTTGCAATCTTCAGGTTGTTGTCGGCATCAATGTTT